CGGATTGCAAGCGGACCGGATTCGCGCCTCGCAGTCTCCATGCTACGACGGAGGCCTCTCGGTTGGAGGCTGCTCGGCTGCTCTGCTCGTCCGGCGAGCTCTGCGCCAGGCTGTGCGTGGTTCCGTGCGGATTGCAAGCTGACCGGGTTCGCGCCTCGCAGTCTCCATGCTACGACGGAGGCCATTCGGTTGGAGGCCGCTCGGCTGCTCTGCTCGTCCGGCATGCAACGTTCTGTGCCAGGCTGCTCGTAGGATCAGGCTGATTGCAGGCTGCCCGGAGCCGCGCGTCGGTGCCCTCCTGCTACGACGGGGGCGATTCGGTTGCAGGCTGCTCGGCTGCTCTGCTCTTCCGGCTTGCAACGTTCTGCGCCAGGCTGCGCGTAGGAACATGCGGATTACAGGCTACCCGGATCGGCGCGTCTCCGTCCTGATGCTACGACGCGGAGCCTGTTTAGTTGGAAAACTTCGCAATTGCTTCTACAGGTGTGCCGGCTTGCGCAGAGTATCTCGTGGGGATTCGGTTTGTTGCGCCTTCTGCGGTTTTGATACAGCCGAATCTCTTTGGCGTGGCGCCGCTGCCTGATAAGAGCGATCGCAATGATCAAGATCAGTTTGACTGCAGCGCGCAACATAGCGGTTCACGACTATGTCGCACGCATCAAGATCATATAAGATCATGTACAGCGTCTTTCATAATAAGAAGTTTAGAATCATAGTAGTTCTGACGCAACATAAGAATCATCGTACAATCAGCAAATGCTGCATTTGCGGGCATTCCAGTACAGACATGAATTATAATAATGGAAATCATGATATTTTTCCTGCATTTATGAATTACATGTGTACTGCACATTCTTCTCGATCGTTTTTTGTGTGGAGAAGTTTAGCGTCTTTTTTAATCAAATATTTTTTTCAAGAATCGAAGATCCGAGAAAATTTTTTCCTGTACTAGTCCTGACAGAACAACCTGCAGCAGCTTAACTTGTTGTGCATATGGAGCGATTGCGCGAACATGTCCGCAGTGAGAATGCAAAGACGTGGCGCCTGTGCCGTGAAAAATTTTTGTTACACGCTGGAAACCTTGTCGGAAGTGACGAGAAAAATAAAAACGCTGCGCGAGGACAAAGAGAGCATATAAAAACAAAAACTAATGGCGCGAACAGAAGAACGTCTACTGTCAAGACTCATGAACATCATTTTTGCTCTTTTTTGATATTTCGAGATACCAAAAGCCCACCGGTGTCCGCAAACGGCCTGTTTGCAACTTCTATGATACCTTTGGAATATGAAATGAACTCAAAATTGCCGGTACCACGAACTGAAGCCTGCGCATGTTGTGCCGCGAATGTCTGTCGTCCTGTCCCCACAATTGCTAAATATTTCGCGCCAATATCCGCGCCATCGCCCCGCTGCTCGTAGGCGAATGACCTCAAATTTGCACAGTAGCGCGACTGATGCTGCATATTCCAAACCGATAAACAGGACCTCGAAAAAAACACAACGAAACCAAGGCAAAGCTGAAGCAACAGACACGATTTTTCCATTTCGCTCGCGCGTGCTCCGTCACAAAAAGTAACGTAAGCATGCGTACGAGGGGGCACGAGTAGCCCCTGATAGAAAACAAGCTCGTCATTCCCATCACGGGGTACGCGTACAT